TTTGTTCTTACATCATTATCGTTTTATTGATATGAATCGAATTGATTTAGATCAGATTGGGTTGCGTTAATTCTTAGAGGTGTAATCGGCATCTTTTTTCGCAGGGGGGGTTTTACACGAAATCTTTACTTCTTAAATAATACATTCACAATTTTTAGTACACCATTACTCATTTAAGGGTAATTTTGTCATTAAAAAGTAATATAAAGAAATGCCACGTTCGTAGAGGTATAAGTGACATTTTTCAGGAAATATTAACTAGAATTAAAAAGATTATGTGAAACAAACGCAGGGGGATTTTGGTGATTATGGATAAGTGTGGGTATTTTTATAATTTAACCTAAGTTCATGGGCTTTTCCATAATTTAGCCAACAAATTAATGCAAGTAAAAAGCTAATTAGTAATTAGATCTGAACCAAAACACAAAGCCCTAAATGCTTTCTGTGGACACCAATTAATTAATAAATAAATGACCCATCCCTCTTTATTTCCTTTTTGGGCTCTTCTTTCTCCTGCTTTTGTTTCTATTACCACTCTTTCTAACATTCTCTACTTGTATAATTCTTGGTAGGGGTGCACTGAAATACACCTAATTAATTTTATTTATTTTCTATTATTTTATTATTATTTATTATTATTATTATTTAACCTTCATTGAAAATGCATTTTTTTTAATATATAATTTTAAGCCCACCAAGATTATTCAGAAAATAATTTACAGTGAGAGCTGAGGGTTTGGAATAATTCATTGTCAAAAAAGAATAAATTCAATCAAACTATATGAATTTATTATTATTATTATTATTATTATTATTATTATTATTATTATTATTATTATTATGAATTTCAAAATTATCTTAATTTAAACTTTTAGATATATAAAAGTGTAAAACAAATTATATACATTCCTTAAATAGATTTTAATTTCAAAAAGAAGATGTAATGATGAGAGAGCAGAGCAAGTTTAGAGGTCCCCCAGTAGGAAGAGGGGGGCTGGGTTGGGGGCCAATTTGTTGTCTAGTTTTTGTCTTTGTTTATAAATGCCCCCCACCCAAAAATAAAATATATTTACATAAAAATAAAATAAAATAAAAATAAAAAAATTATACAATCACATTCCTCAAGATGACTACCATAAAGAGCAAACAATACATAAATATATTCAATTTAGGGAAATATTAAATTATTAAATTAATGATTCAGCACGTTGGTGCGGATTCATGAAATGGAGAAATTATAATTTAATCGAGATTATTAATCTATTGAGATTCTACTGTAGTTGCATTATGAATCTACGAAAGATTATCGATAAAAACCCGGGTCATATATATATTCATATGTTAGCCCAATGCACCAAGTGTAGATAGACCCAATGGATAATATAACTTTAGCCCATAATTAATGAGAATATAAGCTTACACCAAGTAGTTATAGGCCCAAACAAGAGCGATGAATGGGCTATTTTCCTTTATTATGGCCCGAATTTATTTTTATTTATTATTAAAAAAAAATAACTTAAGAAGAAAATTTTAGTTTTAAATTTTTGCGTGATGATTCGTACAACAACATATTGAATTAAATATTTAATGTTATTAATTTTATAAAATTTAACGAAAAAATAAATTATAATGAAAAACATATATTTAACTTTTTCTATGAAATACTATAATATAATATTTTACGTATTCAATCTCCAATCTTATTAACTTCACTTTTAAAATTTTATATTTGTCTAAGAGAATTGTGGATAATTTATATGGCTCAATCACGAATTGAACATATAGATTGAATCTAAAGTAAGAAAAGCCCGAATAAGAATAAACTCACAAGCTTCGAGAGACCTGCAAAAAAGAGTGCCACAGAAGGATTTCTCGGCGTTAGTATTCTAATGGTCAAATCAGACGGAATCGTGGAAAGCAGTTGAAGTGTATTTAGAGAAATATGATATGAATATGTGTATTAGGAATACCCCGTAAATAGAGAGTTGTCATTCCTTGTGCTCCTAGATTGTATTTATCTCCGTCGTGGAGATGGGGTGGTGGGCCCCCGAATGTGTCTTTGGTCAAATAACACGTGGGAGTGGTTGACTACTACGAGTTGCGATTGCCTGCTGAGGACATCTTGCTCCCTGTGATCTGGGTCAGTTCAATTGAGAGAATCCGTTGGTGTGGCCGCTCCTTGTTATGCTGTAAGTGGGCCTCTCTCTGATCCATGTCCTATTGCAGGCTTTTCGACCTTGTTTCTGACCTTGGGCCGAATGTATTCCCATTCGATGTCTATGTCTACCCCGTATGGAGCTAGCGACAGCCTGCGTTGCCTTTGAAATTTGTGTGAAATTCTTGATATTTGTACACTAAGTTATTATGTTAATAGAAATTAAGATTCAAATATTTACTTATTTTATACTAATTTTTATAGATCGATACCCTGATTACAAAATATCCGAGGGCGCTGCCCCCGAAGCGTTCAACATTGTAGAATTCTCGCCCCCAACCAAAGAGTCCTGTATAGACAATCACATACATATGTACATACATACATATAGCTGGAAATTAAATAGTTTAAATTACAAAGTATTGGTGTTATGGCTTGATTAATTAATTAGTTATATGTAATTACTACTAATTAGTTAACACTATATCATTAATTAATTGATATAGACTTATAGTACATATATAATTAAAATGTTGTTACATAAGGCAGCAGGCGTTAACGTTGTCATCATTGAAGAGGTTGCTAACTTTGTCATCCCCACGGTGGGTGGGCGGAAGAGAGCCGTGGCGTTGGGCAGCGTTGTAGCCGTGCCGCCAGTAGTTGTAGCTCTCTTTGTAGTCGGTGGTGGTGTCTTTGAAGTAATTGTTGGCAGAAGTGAAGTAGAGCGGCGGCATTGGATAAGGCCAGAACTCCGCCCTCTTCCCCGCCCTTCTCACCGCCTTCAACACCTTATTCCGGTCGACGTATCCCATCACCGTCACCTTCTCCATCTCCAACTCTACCTCCACCGAATCCACTCCTATATATATACATATTTCAATTGATTAATACAGTTATCTGTAAAACTAAAATGTTAAATGTCGTTTTGATTTTGAACGTGATTTTGATCATTTTCTAGTGTATTTTCTTTTTTTGCAAAATACAAATTAAATAGAGAAGCTGTAGTCATTTGAGTTACCTTTCTAATACAACTTGAATCAGGCTAGATTGAATGTCGGATGATAAAGTTATATATGAATTAGTTACGTTTTGAATGTTAGAAAACTCAAAACATTAATTAATTATTGGTGATAATATTTAATATCAATTTTCAAATTCGTAATCCATGCTTAGTTATAATAAATCATTTTTGTGTGTACACAACAAATATTATTAGTGAATTATTTGTAAATTTTTGAAGTGCGTAACTTAGGATCCATAATGAAAAAATTACTGAAATGTTAAATGTAGTTTCAATTTTACTGATACTGTTTTGATTTTTTGAACTTGATTTTTGATCATTTTCTAGTCTAATTTATGCAAACACGGTAGTTGTAGTCCTCTGAGTTATCTTTCTGATACAACTTGAATCGTGCTAGATTGAAGGTCAGATATTACATTTTGAATTTTAGAAAACTCAAAACATTATAAAGTTGTGGTCACAGTTCATTGATTCATTCATATCTTTCTAATCAAATATCGAATCTTCGTGATTCGAGTTGGATTAGAAAACTAGCTCAAAGAACTACAAATTCTATGTTTCGAATTTTGCCATATCGAGCCGAAAAAATGGTCAAAATCACGTCTGAAGTCGTAGCAAAGTAAAACATACCTCTAAGTTTGAGAATGGCATCTTTGACAAGTTTTTCACAGCCGGTGCAGCACATCCTCACTTTGAGCTCCACAGTCTGTAAATTAAATTAAAATTAATGTTTTAAAATTCAATAATTAATTAATCTTAATATTTGTAATCTTTCAAGTTGATGCTAATTTATTGTCCCTTCTGATATTAGTACCCTTTTGCACTATGTATTAAGAGTGGACCACCTTTTTAGTAAGCTAATTAATCGGGTTAACGTACAACGTAAAACTTTCCTATATTATCGAAAACTTGCACCAAATTCATTCTTGCTCGTTTATTCGGTAAAACTCGTCGTCTCTATTTTATTTTTTGTTTGTATAAAATCCACTCCCGTCCAATCGTATAATTAACAGATTTAATTATTAACGAAAGTAAGAGTCGGTGCAAAGAAAAATAAAACCGACGGCGATTTTACACAATTATAAAATAAACAAAAGTATAGGATTTGATGTAGGGGTTAATTAATTGTATGTTGTTTGCCTCCAATTTTAGAGATTAGGAAACTAATTAAGCATGACAAGATAGGGGGGCCATGCCATATTCTTTCACATCCACATCTATTATTCAATATATTATATTATACAAATAGAAGTCCTAAGCTTAAGAATGGGGATAAAAGAATCAAAGAAGTTGTTGAAGTTCATACCTAAAATCATATATATATATATATATATATATATATATATATATATATATATATATATATATATATATATATATATGCATGCAAGTTATAAGTTTTATTGGGAAAAATATAGACATAGGTGTGTGTGTGTGTAATTAGAGTATATGGTAGTATAATACCCAAAGAAAAAAAAAACACGGAGAGAGGTTGAGAAACCGTATGCGTTTAGCTCTTAAGAAAAACATGAAGTTGGAAATCAATAAATAGACGATGATGTTAGATCAACTACCAATTATCTGTACGTGTGTGCGTGTGTGTAAAAGTATTAGTAAACTGGCCTGGAGGGAAAGCGGTCGACTCTTAGGCATGTTAGTAGTAGTTTATGTTTGCGTTTTGGTGCCGTTATATGTGATCGATGTTGTAACCGAAAGAAACCTAGCGAAATAGTCTTTCGAGATGTTAAATTTATAAACTTTGCTGGATATATACATACACATATACATATATAAATGTGAAGAGAGAGAAATGGAGAGAGGATGAAGAAAACTAAAAACCTATCCAAGTTGAAGAAAATATTCCTCAAAAAGGCATCTCTCAACTTAATTCTTATGTTTCAATCTTAGCTTAATTGTCATCATATATTCCACACAAAGTAATTAATTAGCTTTGTTTAATGAAACTATTCCGATCCCTTCCCGATCGTTTTCTTTTTTCGTTTTCCTTTTATATAAATATGATTATTTAGGGTGGTGTGGGGATGTTTGTGTTTCTTGGCATATGGTAATATTCTTTTCCATCATCATCTTATTGCTTATAGCACAAGAACAAAACAAAAAAAAAAAAAAAAAAAAAGAATTACCCTTTTGGAAGGGAATATCTATTTATTACAAATTACTGGTTGTGGTGTTTGATGAATATATAACAAAATGGCTGCTGACACTGAAATTCTTTTAAGATTCTTGAAAATAGATGAGATTAAGGAATTAAATATGAGTTTATAATGCAACGAAACTAATTCATATTCTCAAAAATATTCTTTTTTCTTTTTCCAATCTGACCATCTTTCACTATCATCATATTGTACCATTTAATCTGCAGTTTAATTTTGTCCATTCAGATATATTCTCACATCTCTGGTTATCAATGTATAACATCATATATATGATATAGATACGTCTTCCGATTTTCCTTAACCGTCGATTTTTTTGATTTTCTGATTTTTTTTTTTTAAATGAAATTCATGGCAAGGAACCTTTCACATGCAAAACCAGGCAAACAGGTCACGTGCTGTGCAGCATGCAGCAAATGCATATATATATATATATATGTACATATGTACATAAATATTCTTTTGTAGCATATTCTTGAAATTAGAGTGCCCCACAGGCTGCTACAGCAGAAAATATATATATATATTTAGCTGAGATGAAATTAAATGGACTAAAAGGCAGCAAAAATTTAGATACCATATTCCCAGCATAATTATTATTTTATTTTATATCAATACTTACACACTAAGGCAACGCAAATGCAAATCATATATTATAAATTAAAATTTTGGAAAAAAAATTAAAATTTGGGAAAAAAAATGAAATTATCGTAAATGAAAATCGGGCCGTAAAGCAAAATATCCAATAATTGACTATGTATGCTTCCAAAAAATTCGGAAAATCGAAAATTAAAAGAGTGTGTATAGTACTCAAATATTGCAATGCTCAATACTACTAATTTACCGGTTATTACTTATTAATCAAACGACTTTCGATAAATCACTAGACAAATAAAAAATTATAAAAGAGTGTATAGTATACCACCTAATAATAACATTAACACCATAATTTACACATGTCAATTACCATGCAGAGCATCGAAAATTGGGACAGCGCCACATTCCGATAAAAACTAATGACAGGATTATTACCATGAATGCGCCGACAGCGTAATAACTCGAACCTTGACGAACAAACAATGATGTAAATGATGCCGCTTTTGCACTGCCACGTTTCGCAGCATCTGGTACTGGATCACATGTTTTAACAGTCTCCTTATTCTCATTGGGAAAGCTGCCTTCTAACTCCTGAGAATCGGACAAAAGATATCAGGACCAAAGATTTAAGAAAAATAAGACATCTTCCTCATTCAAGATTTCATGAATTATATGTTAGAATCCCAATTAAAGTCCCGAAATCCTAGGATTTTACGATTTTTTTTACCACCCGTTACCTTGTTAAATCCTAGTAGAATCCCGATCCAAGCAAAATCTTCAATATCAGGAGTAAAAATGTAAAATCCTTAGATCCTTGAAATCAACGATTTAATTGCGATCTTAATGATTTTACATTTATTTTTTTCATCAAAGCAAGTGAAGCCCAAGTAAAGCCAAGCTATTTTCAGCCCTCCGCTGAACGTTTTATTCCATTTAAGTAACACAATAAATTCTAAAATTTGCGGAGGCGGGACCCTAGCACAAACAAGGAACAACAACGTAACGACCTAATCGAGTAATGAAGAACAACCAATAACTCGTGTTTTTATTTATGTTGAGAATATGTTTATATGTGTTGGAACATACTTCATTTATGTTGGGAGATGTTTTATCCATATCGAGACATATAACATTTGGCATGCAATACAGTTTTTACAAGATATGTTACCGTACTACAATTTTACAATAATCCCGATTTTGACTACTATATCTCACTGACGTTTAATTAAATGGAAATTAAACTGACCTGTGTAATAAGTGGTTCTGATTCTTGTTCTTCGCCCTTGAAATTTGCATAACAGACAGCGATTGGTCGACAATCATACAAAAGACGAAATCTCCTCGGAGCAGTCCCCTGTGCTATCCTGTTCACAATAACTGGTCGAACCCGCGGCCGATGAGTTCGGATCTTGATTCCAGTTTCACTAACAGGGGTAGTATCGTCTTTCACATGATACAAGTGACACAACGTCTGAACTGGTCTGTAGCATGTTCCCCCAACTATATCGATCGATGAATCAACTTCTTTAACCCCATACTGTAAATGGGTTTGACAACTAGATTGCTCAGCGTGTAAGAGATTCCCACATATTTGACCCTGTAGAGAATCAACGAGAATATTACGAACAACAGACAAGAAATGATTCAGACAGAACTACCATAACTGGATCGCCTCAAGGTAAAAGAAAAACACGCTAAATATCTTAAAACAGAAATTTAGCATCTAATCGTTGGAAAGCAGGTGAAGCCAGATCCTCTACAATAACGCATTTAAAAAGGACACGAGATACATACACAACGGATACAAGATATAATTTATCTATGAAGCTACCTCATAGATTGCAGACGTTGTCTGTTCTAAACCACCGGTGGGCCCGGGGACAGAGCTCTTATTTGTGACAGCAGACGTGTCACTGTTACTTGAATCTTCATAAGAGTAATTGCTATCATGGTTTTGAAGGCCTTCCAATAACTCTGACAGCGATGCATCCTGTTCAGATGTTCCATCTTGAAAATTCAATCCGTTTTGTCCATCGCCAAAGTCATCAGCAAATAAATCAGTATAACCGTTTGACTGCATGGCTCCTTCAGACATTAAAGCATCTCTCAACGGCTCGTAAACCTGATTAAATATGCAGAAAACAAACATCTTTGGATTTGAATTCCTTCACTATTTCAAATGGCAGAAGGAAAAAAAAAAAAGCGATTTTGTTAAACGAGAGTTGAAATATTCATCTCTAACCTCCATAGCTGTTTCTTCTCCTGATTGATCGACTCCCTCAGATGCACAGGTGTCAGTCAAATCAACCCACCACTTGTTTAAGTCCTCCGGCTCCTCGAGCATTTGCATGCGAACATCCAGCATCGCAGATTCTTGAAACAGATGTGATGATGAAGCATGTTCAACTTCATCGGTTTTCAAATAGTCTAGCTTCTCATCAGCCTTGTCGAATAAGCGACATAGGACATAGTCTCCCTGGAACACGGAGAGAATAATTGGCTTTAAAATAAGTGAAAGCAACTTGAAATGGAGGTTTTAAAACACAAGAGTGCAGAAACTGTGGCACAAAAGTGCAGAAGCTGTGGCACGAAAGTGCAGAAACTGTGGCACAAAAGTGCAGAAACTGTGGCATCATTACAACAACAGTTAGCAAATATTCCTTTTTTACAATCATTTATATTAATTTTAGTCTGGGAATGTGCGCAGTCAACACATATTGCAGTGACAGATGTGTGTGTGTGAGCGCGTGTGTGAGAGAGAGTAACTATTAACCTGTCCAGGGCCAGTGCCATCAAGATCTGGTCCAGTGGCACGATACTCGTGCATAATCCAATTCGTACGTTCACCCTTAGGAGCACGACCCCTGTGAAAAACAAGAGTCTTCTTCATGCCAATTAATTGGGAAGTGGAGCGACCTAAAGATGATGATTTATGAGATTTTATAGTACGATCTTTGCCCGTGGCTTTCCAGTAACCAGCCTCGGTGGCTCGATTAGAGCGATTCCCATTTGGATATTTTCTATCACGAGGACAGAAGAAGAACCATTCCTGGTCACCGGATTTTATCACAGAGAGCGCTACATAAGAACAAAACAAAGATTCATCAAGATTTAGTTTTTGCTTCTCATGCAAAACAACAAAACAAAAAGATGTCCATAATGAAGTTAGAGTTCAGTTTCGGGATTTAAAAATTCATTCCAATTACAAAAGCCCCGGAAATTTCAGAATTTCCGAAAAAAATCGGAAATCGCATAAGTTTTAAAATTTCAAAACTTATGACGAAATTTTCTGAAAATTTCATAATTTTTCAAAATAAACAACATCCACGTCGATAAATGTAAAACTAATAACTACTAAACTTCAGTTCAAAAAATATAAATATAAATAAACCACATCATAACATCCAATAAAACTTCTAAGTTCTAACAACAATTCAATATGTCAAAATCCTAAAACAACACTTAAATCAAATTACTGTTTCAAAAAAAAAAAACTTAAAATAAAGTATTATATAATATATATTATTTATAGGTGCATTTTTTGGGAAAAAATCAGATTTTTTCGGAAATTTGGTGCAAGGGGAATAGAATATCTCTTTTATACATAAATATCTTGTTAGAAAAAGGAAGTTATGTACTAAATGGTAACTTGTCACAAAATTTACTAATCAATAAAATTTGGTCATGGGTCTTTAGAGAACATTTCACCAATCATTTCATATGTTAATTGCAATATATGTTAGTCTTATACTAGAGGAAAGGTGCAAACTTAAGTCTTGGTACTTGCACTACTTAGTCTGTGTTTCAGAACATGTCTACATAACAATTTTGTTCTCCATGCAAACAAATATTGTTCATCAATAAAAAATTATTGTTCTGTTAAATAAAAGGTATATTCTGTATGTATGATTAACTTTAGGTGCGTAGAGGGGTCCAACAACGACGACTGCATGTGCCATTTAATGATCTCTCGAACTCATTTAAAAAGCCCGACGGTCTTAATTCGTATTCTTTTCTATCACAAACACTACCTCCGGTATCAATCCGTTAAAAATTAACATAAATATAATAATTGCAAGTATTTTAAGATGTAATTGAAAGATTAACAAAAAACAACTTTGAAAATGAAATAATAAATACAAGTAACAAAAGTTATTTTGTTAACAAAAAAGTCAGAAACTAGAAACGACCAAGGGCCGGTTCACCTCGAACCCAATCACTGGTTTGTGTTTAACGGTTGTTGAACCATAAACGTAACAGTAACCGTAACCGTTCATAACCCCTAGGGATTTTGAAACTCGTGAACATCGAGTAACAAGTAAATGGTCATGATTAAGTGGATATACCAGAACAATGGCACAAAAGTTACTGTTCCGGTCCCATTCCGCCCGATATATTGGGGGTCCCAGCGAACAATCTTTGTACTAGATCTTCTTTTTATGAATTAAAAAGGACAGCATGGAAATTCATATTTTTTTTCAAAACAATTACTATAACGTCAATTCTACTGGCGCTTACGGAATTTAACTTGTATGAATTAGAACGGCGTCTTCTGAATTTGAATCCATATCACTGTATGCTTTACGATATGCTGTTGAAAGCGCAAGCATATCATGCATGTATCGTTCCAATTCGTTTTAACAACGATTAACTACTCATCGAGATCCATTTTTTTTCCTACAACAGTCTTCAGATCTAGTAAAACTACCATGACAATGCAACATTTGATAAATAAAAAAAATTTAAAGAAAAATCGGGGCTTCGAAATTGGGCAAAAAATGCAAGGAAAAAATTTGATGATTAAAAGGTGATGAGGTTTTCCCAATGAAATCTTCTTTCTATCAACTTCTGAGAAATGGAGTTTTGTGGAAAATATTAATTTACATATATATATATATACACATGCAAACATATATACGCAGAGAAAAACACAGAGATAGATGAATTGATGATGAAGAAGGGCGGGCATACATACCAGGAAGATCCCATGGCTCCCATTTACAGACATCAACCTCGGGGATGACGACGTCGACGTCGGAGTGACGGCCGTTAATCTTCAGCCTCAAATAATGGTTCACAAGCTCCTCGTCGGTCGGCCGGAATCTGAAACCCTTGGGCAAACTCTCCAATTTCATCGTGTTCCGCCGGCATGTACCCATCCACCACCGTCAACCAACAAAAATTCCCCCAATTCGTTCGCCGTACGGAAATCAGCCAAATTCGAATTGCAAAACTTAAGGAGAGAAAAAAGTGAGGGTAGAGAAACTTCTCGAAATCCACTCCGCCGCTCACCGCTTTCCACTTTTTCTCCAGTCGGTTGCTTTTTTTTTTTTTTTTTTTCTTTTTCTGCACGTGGTTGTGGATTTTAATTTAAAGCTCGGAAATGCCAAACGCCGCCACGCGCGGCGAGTGCAGATTAGGATCATCCCAAACTGGAGATTAGTGATGTAATTACTGTAATCTTCCATTAATATTGAGGTTGGCCAGAGAGAACAATTTCGAATGGAATTTCTCTCTTTTATCTGAGAGTTTAATTATCGAAATTGGCAGAATCTATAAAAACATAGAAAAGAAAATTTGTTTAGTAAAAAGCTTAACATTTATGGTATGGTTCGCCGGAACGTCGCGGTCCGTTGTCGTCGATACTGCTGTTCCGTCGGGTGGTTCGCGATCCGAACGAATAAATTTTAATTAAAATGCTAAATTAATTAATATTTATTTCGAATATGTTTTTAATACCACATTACAATACAATAATTGCAAAGTACTATTACAATTTATTTGGATTAATATTATGAAATTACATGCAATATTAATGCACGTATAATGTTGAGTTGGTTTAAAGTTCTCAAGATTTTATCTTTGAAAATTATTGGGCGATTGAGAATCAAATTGTCCGTATTGAGGCTCATTTGATGCATGAGATGATGATAGTACCCCCAAATCCTCAAAATTTGAAATCCACTATTGCCGGAAAATGCATAGTTGGGATCTTTATATATCGCGCTCTGCTTCTTGTAGATAAAGGCTCACATTATATGTTATGATCGGATCGTAGTAATCATCAAAATCACAACGTATGCCACTAGTATTGCCAGAACATCCATATTCGTGATCATGTTGTCCAACATCACTTGCACCATCAGGCAATGGATATCGATATCTACCTTGGGAAGCAAATGAACTTTTTTGGTAATTATATCCTTTATCTTAATAGCTTGAATTATCATCAGTCAATCCATAACCGTATTGAGGCTACCTTCATCCTAAGCTCATACCTTGCATATGGTCATCCACATTCGGATATAGACATTTCATGAAGGTTCGAGTGAAGAGCATCGGCACTAGAATAATCTTGTAAGCCCGCTAAATACCACGTTGTTCTTCAATTCCTTGACGATATCCATGATTTGCGTCTTGAGTGCCATAAAAATTATCTATTCAGTGGGCCCAAGACGCCATATTGCATGCAATCATTGAAGATAAACATAGGGGTGCATGCTATTATTCCTTGTTTTTTTACTAAACTGATCCTCTTTCAGATTTTTTTGCCTTCTGCTCCGACCGTTTCAGCTATGACATGATCGTTTTATGGTCCCGCCTCACTCGTCCTGCCGTATCTCGATGTTCTGGCGTGTCGCAGTGTAAAAATTATTGTAATTGGGATTCAGAAAAGGAGGGCACTGTTACCATTCTATTCCGCAGACGTTCTAGCGAACCCTGTGTATAATAATATAATTCTAAAAAAAAAAGTATAACAACCATTAATACATAAATATATATCCTTTTACAGTTGATACATAAAAGATGGAGCCTACGTAGCACGTAAACTTTAATTCATTAACGTATGCGCGTCTAGGATACGAAAACTTGAGGACACTTGTTGGAAACTTTATGGGCTATTTTGTAATTTCTGAAAGTTAGAAACAAGTTTGAATAGGAAAATTTTAAATATTTTTGTTATTCCCTAATTATTTACATGATTTGATGGTCAATTGCAAATTGATAGTTGATAAAATAATATTTATTTTGAATATGTTTGTATCGAAATATAGAAAAATAAATTATATATAAATAAAAACTTAGCTCCATCACAAAAACAAAGATAATGTGAAGTTTTCAAAAGGAACAATACCTCATTCAATTTACAGAAAATGCCCATCTAGCAAGATCACAGGTCGTAAAATTACTATTTCTAGAAACAAATTTAAACTTCTATTTTGGCGAAAGCGACACATAACGAATGTTAACTTTGGCCGTCCAATGAGCTTTCGAAGAATGGCCGTTAATGAACATGACCGCATTAAGGCAATCGACTTCAAAGATGACATGGCGAACTTTACCTTAATAGCAAAAAAATCAGCAACCGAAGGGCTTGATACAGTATCGTTTCATTGTGTACGCAAAGATAATTGACCTGCTTTAAGAGCTTCTGTTGATGAGCATTGGTTATTGATACTCTCTTTTTTTTTTACCCTAATGGTAGATTTTCTTTATCAACATGTATTAAAGACTAAAATACCCCTCGGAATTTAAGATATTCCAATTTCATCGATTTAACCGTAATTTCACTAATTGTTCAATTTTGACCCATAAATCCAATTCTAAAGTCAAACTAAATCAGAATGAGTCTTATGTTATAAAGGGAAGAAAAACAGTATGCTCACTATGTTCTTAGTGACAACCTTAAAAAAGTAAACAATATCACATTTCACAAACTGCAAATTTACAGATTTAGTACATCCTTTTAGGGAGAAGGCTTGAATTCTAGGATTTAAATGACATATATATTTCCTAGTAACATTCATTTTGAATCCAGAAATTTAAAAAAAATAATAATAACAAAAAAAATATAATTAGGACCAATTTACACAAGAAATGTCTCACTCGTTACGCATCGATAAAAAAATATTCACAGGTTTCAACTTACAAAGCAGGATGGTATCCGATATTGGCATTCGTTCCTACCCTTTGTACAGCTCTTCTTACATTCCATTCTTGACAAAACTCTAGGCCAAGCCTAAGAGCTGTTCCAAGTCCTAGCACAACAATTACTCCTGCCAAAAAAATAGCTTCGGTTTTATTACGACGAGGCACATTGAACTTCCGAGTCTATTAAAATTCAAACCTATTGTGTAAACAATAAATAAATAAAAAAATTACCAATAATAATGTTCACGGGGAGGGCCGAAACACCAAGGGTTACTGAAATCAGCACGTCCAACAAAAGACCCCCGATGAGAATTGAAAATGCCACCCAAAGAGGACTAAAACAACGCTGTTACAAATTAATGAATCAGTATTTAATTTGGTAATGGTTTTCTAACCAAGTTTTGTTAGAAGGAATTACGGCTTCTTTACCCTTTCACGTTCTTGAGCTCTAAAGGCTGGATCAACCCTCCAAACCCAGTAACTTGCCTGTCACACATAAAAAGTCGAATCGAATGCTCATTTAGCACAAACTTAGAACTTTTATCCTAATAAGGTTTTAAGCAATAGAGGCGAAATATTCATGTTCTTGAGTTTTCCATATCATAAGCTAAAGTATCCGATTAAATAGTGCCAAAACTTGCCTGGGGATCGGGGACTGCTACATTTGTAGCTATTTGCCTACATAAGAAATGTGAAGAGGCTCGTTATTATCCTGCGTGGATTAAGCTGAAATTATTCAGTAAAAAAGAAATCGGGCACTTAACTGGCATATCTCACATTTATTTGAGCCTCGACTATTAAACCATTTCATTATGCACGAATGATGTGCTTTTGCAAGACCACCTCGACATTGACATCCAAGATTGATCAAGACTTCTTCATTTTCTTCTTGGCATACCCTGCACAAGAGAAGTAGCATGGTAATCCCTTAAGAAGGTGTTCAACTTTACTCATCGGTATTTTCGAATGCCTATTGACGGCGGAAATAAAAATACACTGTTTCAGATAAAATACATCAAGTTACAATAAATTAAAAAATGAAGTTAAAATGAACTTGGTGAAAAAACACAAATAAATTATCTCAACTTTGCCCATGTGGGGAGATATACAAGGAAAGGGGAGACTGAATTTGAAGGCCAATACAAGTGTTTTGATAGACTCTGACCAAATTTGACCAGGAGAAAAAATCTTGAGTATGTTTTATGATATTTATTACATAGAAAATCCCAATGTGTTCCATCCGGTCATCAAAATTCTAATGCTCGACCTAGTTTATCAATTGGATTTCCAAAATCGAAGTAAGTGACTTTCCAAAATACATGCGTGAAGTCGTGATTGACAACTAATAAGATCTTAAAAGGTGCGTGGGTTACCTTGATGAAAAAAACTTTTTGAAATCTTGTTTTTGAAGCTTACTGGCTCTTTTCCAACAGCTCTTTGAACAGCTTATAGGATGTACTAACAAAAAAATAGGGTTTGGCAGATACCCTCTTAAGACTACTGCACCATCTACCAATACAAGAAAGAAATAAGTCTCGTGTAAAAAGCAAATGCGACGGATAAAGCTTCATGTCTGATATTTGGGACCTAAAACGCTCTCCTCTTTTTCCTATTCTTGTCTTCTACTTATAGCTCTACAGACCAAGGTCCTTCCTTAAAGCTGAATGAATTTGAGTTCACTGAATTTCACACAAATCCTATTGTTACGACAAACCAAAGCCACATCACAAAGTTCGGGCTGCCAACCATCCCCTGTATCCATCAGGTCAGGTCAGTTCATCAATCTGGTAAAAGTGAAATACTGAAATAGACATTCAATAATGCGGTTCCCCAAGTCCTCTCTCAGAGGTGTTTTGTACATATATTATATTCCCCAGTGGTAGGTCGGTAAAGTTCAAAACATGTACTGATTTAAGAATCATACAATCACGACGTGTGTCTTCTGCGTATCTCCTTTTACAGAATTTTAATTCCAGTGGCAATCAAAGAGTACACAAACAAAAGTATCTTCGACGTTTCTCAAAAGTATTAAATACACGCACTTGATCATCGTTTACTTTATCATTTGTGTTTGCACAATATGTCATTTTGAATCCCTTGTAAAGTACTCTGGAGAGGACACTTAAAGAATCGATGCTATATATACTAGGTGTTGCATGGAGAGTGGAATGCAGGATTATTACAAAACTCGGAATAAATATCGACATAAAAACATAGAATTAACTTGTCCTCGTGGATGCACGAACATTGCTAAAATGTTGATTAAGTCTTAGCATGACAGTATTGAAACATAAAGACACAATTCTTGAAAGTAAACACTGCACTCTTCAGACGAAAAGTTGTAAACAAAGAATTCTCGAAATTTACTCTTCGTCAACAAATACCCTTTCGTTCTCCTCACACCATTGCGAAAACTGAACCTAGTTACAAACCTATGTACTCCTCTCAACAATTTAATCACAAATTGTCATGCCTTGCAAATCGGTAACTGCAGAAAAATATGAACCATAGCATTTACAGAAAACCAAGCCCTCAAAATAAATCTCTTATTTGTGCATATCTTTTTCTAATTTTATCAACCTAATATCATACCAAATCCGCAGAAGCTATTTCCAGACATCCGGTCAGAAATTTTCAGCAACAAAGACGAATCACAGAAAAAAAAATACAACATAAAAAAAATTAAAAAAAATAAAAAATAAATCCTATTAGCGCAAGTCGGGGAAAAGGGGATATACCTGCATTCCTCCTGAGAAGTCGCGAGTTGCGGCTCACTCTTGGAGCAGTCCACAACCACTTCAACAATTCTGTCAACGGATTGACCTACGGCCGCATTCTCCGCCAACGCGCCGCCGCCGCCGTCGTCCGCAGCTCTCTCGCCTACCTGATTTTCGATATCAACGTCGGAGAATTCACCAACCGTAGCAGCAGCACCGCCATTCCGCATCTACTTGAGCTTTGAAATTGACCGAAAATCAGCGCAGAAACTAGTTGAACGTTGATTGAATTCGCCCTAGGTAATGGAGAACTGAGAGCTTTATAGATTGAATTTTTGGAAGGAAATTGAAAAAGGGAGGAGGAGAGAGAAAGTAGGTAAAATCGAAGTAGATGAGAGTTTGTTGTAGGAATTTACATGCCACAGTCACTCACACAGTCGGGAAGAAAAGCATCTCTGGAGATTCCTTTTTGTTCTCTATCAATTTTAAGATTAACTTAGTATTATATATTCATTTAATTTATTTATTATAACAATTAATAATAAAATATATTACATAATTCATAATTGTGATAAAATTTAATAGTGATATTTACATCATAGTAACAACATTATTTATATATCTGATAATACAAACCCTATGGTAAAAATATATATATATATATATAAAATATGAAATTGATTGTTAAATAAATGAAGTAATAATAAAATAAATTTTATATATTTTTGTTCAAAAAAAAGATGTTATTAACAAATAAAATGGATTAATAAAGAAAGTGCAAAACTATTGAGATAAGAAAGAATTAGAAAAATAGTGGAGGAAAAAAAAAGAAATTTACTAGAGATAAAATTAAAATTAAAATAACTACAAAAATAACATTAGGATTACTCTAGGGTTGCAAGCGTTTATTCATTATATATACTAGTAATTTGCCCCGTGCGTTGCACGGCGGCGTATTGAAAATAAAATTAAAAATACACATAAATAAATGATAATGACAAAAATAGTATAAACAAAATTGATAAATGTCGTGTTCAAAATCAATACAATAGAAAAAGCAAAGTGTAAAAATTCCACTAATTGCCATCATAATGTATATATCAAGTTTAGAACTTGAATCTAATTTACATATGTATATATACCCGGGAAGAAAAAGAGAATCAACTTACTATTATTTGTGGCGTTGTACTTTTAACAACATACTTCAATGCTAAAAAATGGTAACATGTAATATATATGAGTAGTGTTTCGAATAAAATTTGGAAAATAAAACAATATATTAAATGTAAATATCGCATAAACAAAGCAGTGAATGCATTCAAAAAAATAATGGATGTAGGACATAACAAATTTATAAGTAATTTCTTTTTGGAAATGATAGTAAAAAAATAAAATAAATTGAATAGTGATATGAAGAATCATTCATTCAATTTTAAGTGGCTTTCGGTAATGCAACACAACTACATAATGTATTCAATTTCACATATTTCACTAACAAAAATAATATATTTATAACATGTATATTCTATCATTTATTAACTAAAATATATGAATATTTACGTGCACCTTATAAAAGTACTCATCCAACATAAATTAGAAATAACTGAAAACATAACCAAAAAAAGTTCTAATGAAACAAAAAATCTTATATCTAGCAATTCCCATGCAAAAAGTAGTCTATGTGGAAAGAACCCACTCCGGCTATGTTAATATGTTAAAGAAATTTAAATTGATTACATTCGCTTCAATATTGTTACAAATTTAAAATTATCAAAAAAAAAAAAAGTGATGCGGCAAAGTTAAAATATTACCCAATGTCTATTTTTTTTATCTATCCAGTATTAAATCATAAAAGAAGCGCTAATTTGTAAATAAAAAAAGTGCTACAAAGTTAATATATTCGTGCTCCAAAGAGATCGAGGTACATCAAACCAGTCGAATATGCAAAAGAAAAGATACGCTAATCTGTAAAGAAAGAAGATGCATTCTTCTATTTATGCTTAATGTACGCAAAACAAATATTCCAATAATGCAATTACCAAATCAACATAACAACAAAGAATATAAATTCATAAGTACATTTTTGTCTCATGGTTACAATACACAATTAGAAGCTTGTATAACTGAATTATAAAGACGTATTATTGTAAGGTCTTTACTTGTCATAACAGTGTTTGAAAAATGTCGAGCATCCAAAATTGAGGGACTTGAGCGATGATAAGCAAACATTTTTTTTCAATCCACCACCACTAACCACTTTTCTCTCATTCTCTCCATTTATATCAATCAAATATTTACTTTCTTGTTGCAAGGCTTTATTGTCAATCAAATCCGTTTTTGGTACATAAAAAACAAATATGAGAAAATAGATCTCAAGAAAGAAGATTAAAAAAAATATCAATAACGAAACAATATAAAGAACATCAACAATGTAGCATAAAGGAACCAACATAAAAAAAAAAAAAACATTGGTAAACAAATTTATGAGTAACATGATACATATAGGAAAATTTATGGGGTTGAGATGGAGAAAATGGGGCAGTTAAGAAAAGAAGTTAAGAAAAGAAGTTGAAGATTACGTTGAGTGGAAAACCAAAAAAAAATTAAAAGAAATCATAGCTAATCATGATTAGTGGGGAAGAAAAAAAAAACGAAACAAAATAATAATTATATAAGAAAAATATTAGAAACGTGCAATAAGAACTATTTGAAGGTAGATATAAAAGAGGAGAAAATAGGATAATAAAAGAAGAAAAGGCAAATATAATTAATTATAAAAAAAAAACGTGCTATTAAAAAAAAATTCCGTCATACGATAAAAACCGTAAAATTTTCACATGTGCAGAAAAGTATAAAAAAATAATTATATAAAAAATAAAAAAACGTGTCTTGAAGAGGAGAAAAGAAAGGAGAAAACAAAGGGATTTGTTTTTTAAAGAAAATAATTATATAAAAAAAAACAGCAAACGTGCACTTGAAGAGGAGAAAAAAAAGGAAAAAATAAAGGGATTTATTTTTGAAGAAAAAACTGTTTTTTTAGGGTTTCGGGTAAAACCTTTCTTTTATATATAAAGATAAGTATTATCTAATAAAAATATTAAATGTAAACAACATTTAATAACAAAAGATATTACAAATAATTTTGAAAATATATTATGGTTTTTTGTTTCTCTTCTCATAATCCATCTTTTAGTGCTTGCGAGTATAATTTTTGTTTCTTTCGTTTTCTCGTAAGTTGTTTTGCAACGGATTTTTCGAGATCGAGCTTATCTTAATTGTTCATAAGCTCACCAGCTTTTTTTATGTTTTATCCTTATTATCAATATAATTAATATATATTTAATAACAAAAAATATATAAATAATTAATAAACTACAATTTATTTATATATTTTTTTGGGTAAAATTTAATTATAAATTTATAATAATAATAACCTAATAATAGTGATAAAAATAAAAACTTAAAAAACAATGGGGTGGAACAGCGAGATGAGAAAGAGAGAGAAAAAGATCCAATTTTAGGGTTGGGAATGAGCCGGGTCGAAATATCTCGAATGAGGTCCAAATGAAAGTGTTTATTAGAGTCAACGTTTAAGATCAAAGGATAAAAAACGGCTCTCAAGTCACCGAGTGGGCTCTGTGTTGTTTAAGTTGGGTTGAATGAGTTGGACCGCCTCAAGTGGGAATCGTGTTAATGGGTGAAATTCTTGATCAATTCAGTTTGGACTCAAAATCCAACAAATCTCCACCTTGGACCAAAAGTGGATAATCGATATTTTTTTTTTCCCCTTTTATATATATATGAGTAAGTAATCGCGAAGAAAACAAAAGTCATCACTCAAAATCATGCATTTCACACATAGAGCAAGTAATAGGTGCAATCACAAATACTACATAACATCATAGAGTTGCTAAGTGCCGCAGAAAAATCTTCAGAATCTTCAAACAAGAATGATTTTTTTTTAAGATCAACTACACATTTGTCAACAATGTCTCTAATGAAGTGAAACTTCACATCAACGTGTTTTGTTCTATCATAAAAAACAAGATTTTTACACAAATTGAATTTCAGATTGACTATCATAAAAGACTACTACATATTTACTCAAAAATCCAATTTCAGAAATTTAATCTTTCAATCAAATTGCTTCTTTCAAAGCTTCAATAACAACAATATACTCATATTCAGTTATAGATAAGTAACAATATTATGCAATAAAAATTTCCAGCTTGTGCAAGAACCATATAGACTAAACACATAAGAGTGCACATATCATCAAAAATCACAATTACAAAACCCAGTATCATTATCAGTTCTAAGTGCATTTATTTTCTTACATCTTTAATTCACAATTATTGTTTTTCATATATACTTTAAACTTTTCAAAAACGTCATACTTTTATCGTAGAGTAGTCATCAATCACAAAAGAAAATATCTTTAATTTTTCTTTTCTTTTAATGGGTGGAGAGGGGTGATAGATACAATATAAAATGTTGTAAAGAAAATTTTGTACTCATATTGATCGATATGTATGTACATTTGTGTCGGTTGAATTATGGATATGCATATTAATTCCAAGATGAAGAACCGACACTTGAACAAATAATAAATGGTTGTTGGAAAATCACAAATCATATATATCAATAGTCCATGCAATATTTTAGTCAAATACATCACCTACACGAGTGAGCCATTTTGGAATAAGCAATCAATTTCTCTATAATACGAACATATTTATATTCCATGCATGGGACCTCGATTTCTATGGCGGTGGTTTCTTCACGTTTTTTTTTTTTTTTTTTTTCTTTTTTTCAAATTGGAATTAAAATTATTTAAATATGTCATATTATGTTATTATATGTAATCTTATTTAACACAATGTATGGGGTAAATTACAACAACCCCGAGGTATGATGTTTTTACGAAAAAACCCTTCTTGTTTGGATAATTACATTGACCCCCTCAACTATGATTTTTTTCTTACACCTCCACCCTTATGGTGTCAAATTCAACATAATCATCTAGATTTCGTGAAATGTGTTCTAGTTTGTACTCGTTTTGTGTAAAAATACAATTTCTGATGCACCACAATCTGATATATACAAGTCAAAAAAACACGTATTATGATCGTCTTGCTTCAAAATGTGGAGTTCGAATTGGATAAAACGGGTACAAAAGTGATAATTAATATTCCATGTAATCTCAAAGATTCCACTAAATTTGAAACCGCAAGGGTGGACGTGTAAGAAGATTAATAGTTGATGGGTTGTAATTATCCAAACATGAGGGGTATTTTCGTAATTTAACCATATCTTAAGGGGTGGTTGTAATTTACCCAAATTTATATGCAGTTTTGAAGGATAAAATTGTAATTTCACATTTGATTGCCCCTTATAAAATTAATCTGAGACGGTAAAGGATGCTACTAAATTAATGAAATAATAGCTTTTACTAACTAATTTTAACATTTGTAGTGTGTTTTAGTAAGTACGAATCTCGTCAACCGAACATTTTATTAGCTACTACTCTTTACTCTTTAGTCAATACTCATTTTTGGCTATTGTGCATGTATTAAGCAAAATAATAAATGTGCATAGATTCGAAAAAAATATTAATAAAATATTACAGAAATTCCTCTCATTAATTATTTCACCCGTTAATTTTGCTAAAATTGAGAAAAACACAATAAACATTTCAATCCAATTCTAAAGTGACGACGACTAATTTAAAACAAAACAAAAATAATCTCCAAAACGACAAATAAAACGAGAAGAAAAGAGTAATAATAGTAACCAAACGAGTCCCAACAAAATAAAATTTCCATTTAATTTTCTTTTTTTTCTTTTTAGTAGTGTGATTGGAATGGGACCGTACATCTTTCTTATTATAGCTAAATTGCATTTTAAATAACATTCCTCTTTGGAGTACCTCTTTAAAACCCATTTTTTCCAATCTGTTTTTCATTTCATAGTGATTTACAGCTAAGCAATTGCGATGGGTCTGGTGAAATTTCTCCGAGTCAAATTCCGGCGAAAACGACATTCCGCCGACGACGAGATCTCCGCCGCCGCCGCCGTCGCCGTCGATACCACCACCACGAATTGCAAGCACGATGATCGGACTCAACGAATAGTGAAGAGGCTGTCTTGGGATCAGATTCAGAGATTAATCACCATTGATTCATCTCCGATCATTGGATATGGAGGATTCAGCACTGTTTATCTCGCCGGTCGATTCCAGGATTTTTCCACCACCACCGCCGCCGCCGCCGTTAAGATACAGAACTGCACCAGCCACCGCTTCCGCCAGGCGTACAAAATGGAACTGGAAATCCTGCTTCGTCTCCACCATCGATATATCGTCAAACTCATCGCCTATTGTGATCATCCAGGTACAGTAGAACAATTAATTAATTTCAATCGAATCATTCAATTTTATTTTATTTATTTATTATTAATAATTTTGATTTGAATAATTTGCAGAGGAAGGGGCATTGGTATTGGAATACGCATCCAACGGCAATCTGCAGCAGAGGCTCCATTCATCAAACACCTCACTCGCGTGGAGGCGGCGCGTGGCGATAGCATTCCAATTAGCTCAGGCGATCTGCTACCTCCACGACGGCTGCTCCCCGCACATCGTCCACGGCGACGTGAAATCGTCGAACGTGCTGCTCGACGAGAATCTCGACTGCAAGCTCTGCGATTTCGGATCGGCGAAGGTAGGGTTTTCGTCGGCGATCGATCCGCCGCCGCCGGCGGCGGATTCGAACGCGCGGCGGCCGTGGAGGTCGAATCGGACGGCGGTGGTGGGGTCGCCGGGGTACACGGATCCGGCGTATCTGAGGACGGGGCTCGCTTCGAAGAAGAACGACGTGTACGGATTCGGGGTGGTGGTTCTGGAACTGATAACTGGGGTTGAGGCTTTCAGCGCGGCGAGGGGGGAGAGGCTGACGGCGAGGGCGGAGCCGATGCTGAGAGACGCGGGGAAGGTGGCGGAGATGGTGGATCCGCGGCTCGCCGGCGGGGAGATCGATTTGGAAGAAGCTAGAGCGATGGCGGCGATGGCGGCGAAATGCCTCTCCGATTCCCCCGGCGTTAGGCCCTCTGCAT